TTAACTCTGTCTCAGCTTCACCCAGGACATGGAGTTAACCTTCTTCACAGCAGCACATATAATGTTGTGTTTTGGATCTGTGGCTAGAACAGTGTTGGCAGCACACTGATATTTTGGCTATTGCTGAACAATGCTTGCACAGTGTCAAGGCTTTCTCTTTTTCCTGTTCTGCCTTCCTCCCCAGTGAGTAGGTTGGGGATGAACAAGAAGTTGGGAGGAGATGCAGCCGAGATAACTGACCTAAAATGGCCAAAGGGCCAAAGGATCCAAAGGGATAATGTATGCCATGAAACGTCGTGCGCTGTGATAGAAACGAGGGTAGGGGAAGAATGGGGTTGGAGGGAGTTGGTTTCCAAAATGGCCTCACTTATGGGAGGTGGTGAGTGATTGCTTTTGCATTGTTTTTGTTGGTTTTTTTACCTGTCACCTATTAAGCTCTTTAGTTCAACTGCAAATTTTCTCAAGTTTTCTTGCTCTTCTAGTTCTCTTCCCCTATCCCATGAGGTTGGGGGGAATGAGGGAGCGGCCATGTGGGTGCTTGGCTGCTGGCTGGGGTAGGGCAAAGACATGAAGACAGGAGGGTCCTCCCAGCTGCAGTGGGAGGACCAGTGCGGGCACATCCCCTGCCGCTCTGTCTCTATGCAGAGATCCAGGCTGGCTTTGACCTGAGAGCGATCATTTGCCACAGGCAAGGAGATCTTGGTCCAAATACTTCTTTTTTTATTGCAGTTGGAGTAAATTTGCCTCCCTTCCCAGCAATGTCCAGTGTTAGGTAATGGGTATGTGCCTGTTTCCGCAACTTCACACTGGTGTAACGGAGCAAAATGCAATTCAGGGGAGCAGTAGATGAACAGCAAGAGGCTGGGCTGGGTCACTGACATCTCTCTTCTCCCTGTGCAGATACAGCGTGTCTAAATACACATCCATAGCTCTGGTGTCCCTGGGGATCTTCACCTGCACTTTCATGTCTGCAAAGCAAGTGGTAAGGACTGGAAAGGGCCTGAGGTCATAGCTGTGAGCCTTATTGACAGGAAGAGCTGCTGTCAGCACCTTCATCAGTAATTCCCTTTGCTTGACTTTTAACAGAGAGACAAGATGTCTCCTAGCTCTAGATCTGCTCCCCAAAAGCTCTTGTTCCTGGTCTTATTTTCCTGTGGTTTGGAGGGACGGGATGCACACACATGCATGTGGTTTAACTTATTACAGATGCCTTTTATCCTGGGTTGTTCAGGTTGCTTTTTGCTGAGAATATACCATGATTTTTTTTTTTTCCACAGAGATAACAGCTAGAAGCTGTTTTCTCTTGTCCTTACTGCAATGTGTTGCAGTTAGGAGCAGGTGAATGTTAAACAAATCTCAGCCATCTTAAATCTTCGCTCTTTTTACCCCAGAAGAGATTGTCAGCTTTCAGGCTAGATTTTTCCAGACCTCTTGTCATCCAGCGTGACTTTCTGTGACCCTTGAAATAAAGTATATGTATTTGGAGAACAGGAGGGAGTGAAGAAAACCCACATGTAACACCACTTTGAGGTTTTCCTGGGTCAGCACCCACAGCCTGATCTTGTCAACTTAAGACAGAAAAATGGCATAAAGTGGTGGTCAAGTGAACACTGGTTGCACTTAATCCAGCTCTGAGAGATTGGAAATGAAACAGGGCTGTCAGATCTCTAAGTCCCCCATCATTTAATAGCTGTTTAGACTCCCAGGGTGTCTGAGGAAGGTCTGTGCCATGCGGTCTTGCTCTGTATTAATCCAGATAAACTCTCAGCAAGCAGGGGGGTTTGGTATGGTTGTGAAAAGGTGAATAAACTAATTTGACCTAAACACAACATACAAACCAAGAGTGAGGCAGAGGCAGGTCCGAATGAGCTCATGGTTACTGTGTTATGTCTCCCTCCACCAGGCTTCTGATTCCAGCTTAAATGAAGAGGACGGACTCCAGGTTTTCTTGTGGTGGCTGCTAGGTATGTGAGTGCCACATCTTCGGCCAGTCTTGCTGGGATGCTGGCAAGACTCAGCTCTCTGATCTCCTTGGCCGTGTGGGTTGTGCAAAGCAGACTATGGAGGGAGTCCCTGTACCGAGGTTAAGTCGTGCTGAGCATCTGGTGGATGTAGATTTGCAAAGAAAGGGGGTTTGTGGCAGTCATCAGCAGCTTTGTGCAAGTAGATACTCGTCATTTGGCTGACAAGTCAAATATGGGACCCGACTCCAGTCCTGCATGTTTGCAGATATTTTATTGATTTCTCTGCAAAAGCAGCCCTGCTTGATGTATCATGCTGTGAGCTGTGTTGCAGAGAGGGAGAGGTGCTGCAGCTGGTTCAGGTGTTCATTCAGCACAGCATTTCGTGGAGGAGTCTCTACAGTCTGACACTTGAGTCTATTTTTGTACCTTCAACTTAGCCACCATTTACTGGTGGCTTTTCAGGGAAACTGGGATTGATGTATTGTCAGTAATGACAAACGACTATGTCCCTGGTACTCCCCAACTCTGCTTGCCAGAGCTAAATCTTTTTAAAGACATTATATTTTCAGAAGTCTCTTGGCATTTCAGCTTTTGTAATAAGATACCTGTGTCCCCAAGACCATTATCAGTTTTTTCCCCCATCTCATCAAGGCTGGACACTTTGGCTTTTTTCACTGAAAGCTGGAATGCAGGAGTCTTCAAGCTGGTTGACTTGAGCTATGCCGTGTTTGAGCAGTGCTGTAAGGCTGTGCTTCTGTTCCAGGTATTGCCGCACTCACCTTCGCCCTCCTCATGTCTGCCAGGATGGGGATATTCCAGGAGACGCTCTACAAGCAGTTTGGGAAGCACTCCAAAGAGGCTCTTTTTTACAATGTAAGTCACCACATCTTTTTTGTTGCTTTTAGTGGGCAGACAGAGCTGCTAAGAGTCCCTTCCCCTCCCACGCTTGCACAAATCCAAAGCATCACACTCTGCAAGGCTGGAGCAGTGAAGATTGTCCCCTCATCCAGATGTGTGAGGCTGGTTTCCCAGGAGGAGGAGTGGGGTGGGTTCACAGAATCTTGTCTTTAACATCACGTCTTTTCTCTCCAGCATGCGTTACCACTCCCTGGCTTTCTCCTCCTTGCTCCAAACATCTACCATCATGCAGTCCTCTTCAGCCAGTCCGGTAAGTGTTGCACAGATGGATCCTTGCTCTCGTAACTTTCTGTCCTCTGTAAAATGCTGTAGAAAGCTTTCAGTCCAGCAGTTGTGCACATCAGATTCAAGATATTCAAACCCTGTGAATTTTCAGGTTTGATAGAAAGCCAAAAAAACCTTCTCACTAAAGCACATACATACACCTCTTGCGCCCAGCCAGATTGTTCATCCTTCCACATCTGCGTAAGTTTAATAGTAAAATTCACCAGGCTTTTCAGTGCCAGCAAACTTCTTATCTCCCCGATCTTGTGAAACCGCGGGGATCTTTGCTGAAAAGGTTTGCTGGTTCTCTAAGCCCCTCTGGGCAGGGGCTGCGTAGATCATTTTAACCTGTTAGTTAATATAATTGCAAAATATTTCTAGTGTGCTACACCTATCTGAAGGAAAGCATGAGGTGACCCCTGTTCAAAAATGGGAGTAACAGGACCGCAGGTGTAAACATGGACCCGTTGGCTTTTCTTTTGCTGGTGCGGCGCAGGCTTTGCCGTGCTAGCGCTGTCGGCCTCTCAGAGCCACACAGTTGATTCATCCGGTTTTAACAGGAGGACAGGCCTGATACAAGAAAGCAAGACAGAGCTTTTCTTTCAAGGTTTTTTTTCCTTAGCCTACTTCTGCCATCTTCCTTTCTTCCATACAGAAGTCTAAGCAGAAATATCTGCAAACTCTGTTGTATTTATAATTTACCACAATGAGAACAAGATAAATCTTGTTTTGGAGCAAAATCAGAATGTGCCAACACCTCAGTCTGCCTAATGCAGCAACAGCCTCCTGAAGCTGCAGCATGTCCTGGATCACAGAATGGTTTGGGTTGGAAGAGACCTTAAAGACCATCCAGTGCCACCCCCTGCCATGGGCAGGGACACCTCCCACTAGCCCAGGTTGCCCAAAGCCTCATCCAGCCTGGCCTTGAACCCCTCCAGGGATGGGGCATCCACAGCTTCTCTGGGCAACCTGGGACACTGCCTCACCCCCCGCACAGGAAAACATTTCTTCCCAAGATCTCATCTCCATCTCCCCTCTTCCAGCTCAAACCCGTTCCCCTCGTCCTGTCCCTGCACCCCCTGATCCAGAGCCCCCCCAAGCTCTCCTGTAGCCCCCTTTCAGCACTGGAAGGTGCTGGAAGGTCTCCCTGGAGCCAAGTTCAATCCTGGACAAGAGAGAGAGGAGACAGAAACCTCTCTTTGCATCTTCTTTAAGCAGTAGCTGTGACCTTGCTCCATCCTTTCTCCCCACAGAGCCGTTCCAGGTCCCGGTGATCGGGCTGACCCTGCCAATCATGTGGTTCTACCTCCTTATGAACGTCATCACTCAGTATCCTTTCAAAGCTCAGCTGGAGACACACCGCAGAGATCGCAGTTAGGTGGGAGAGGAGGAATGGGGTGGGGGTGCTGAATCCTTGGAGTCTTCCCTGAATTTAGGAGCTGATGTTTGCATAACTTGGAAAATACAGAGTGGAATTTAACTTGGGGCTTACGTTTTTTTCCAGGGTGGTTGAAATCTGCCACCACCTCCCCAGGGACAGGCCAATTGATGTAAACTCATGGCAGTTTTGCTTGCCAGCTCTATGTAGAAGGGACACATCAGGAGCTATTTGTGGGTAGAGTCTTCCAGGCAGCGAGGAGAGATCTACAAGTCTGATGAAGCTGAGATCTCCTCGAGAATGGGTCCCTTCCATCCAAGACCCTCTTACCCTTTTCTTCTCACTGTTGGGAGAGAGCAGTGCCCTATTGCTGCTCACGCTCCTCCATGAAACCCCCATGTTTAATCTGCCTTTTCCATGCCCCCCAAGGGGGGGAAAGGGGACTTCTGCTGCATAAAAATGGAAAAGTCTGCTTTTAGCTTCCCTTAGGACTGTAAACCCTGCGTGCCATTAACCTTTTGCCATCACATCTGCCCCAGCTGCTCTACTGGGGTAGTTTTGCTGTCCCAGAGCAGGGTCGGGGGGGACTCTGGGAGATTTGGGGTGTCCCTGGGGTTTGTAATGAAGCTGTTCATAGCTGTAGGAATGCTGATCTGAGGAGAAGGGAATTTTATTCCCTCTGGAACCAGGCTGGGTCTTGCTCAGTCCTTTTCATTCCCGAAGGTTTGCCCAGATGTCCTCCTTCTTTGGCCCCGATGTCCCCTTACCTCCGCCCACCCAGATACGTCTGCATCCGAGGCGTCTTCATCCTCACCACGGAGTGCACCTCCCTCACCGTCACGCTGGTGGTGACGCTGCGTAAGTTCGTCAGCCTCATCTTCTCCATCCTCTACTTTCGCAACCCCTTCACGGCCTGGCACTGGCTGGGCACTGCCTTCGTCTTCGTGGGGACTCTCATGTACACCGAGGTGTGGAACAGCCTCGGGCCCTTCCTGGCCCGCTGGAGGAAGAGGCCGAAGGAGGAGTAACAGCCGAGGACTCTCTGCAAGGACCTTTTTATTGTTTTACAGAGCAGCAAGGAATCCCCCAGAGAGGGGTTGTTTTTATAACACAGGGGAGGTGTTGGCTGTGCCAAGCTCCTGGGAAACATGGGACCTCTGCTGGGAACCTGCTTGAAATGGATCATGGAGAGATTACATGGTTATTTTTGCAAGGTTGCATTTTTTTATGCAACCCCTTTTACTTCTAGCCCCTCCTCCCATTCTTTTTATTTGAATAACCCTTTTTAAGTCATGGAAAAGCTGACCCAGTTCTGTGTTAGGACCCCAACCTTGTTGTGGTGCTGTTGTCCACTCTTCCCAGCTTTGACGAGCCGGACCTCGAGCCTGTTTGGTGCCGTCCTTTCGTGTTCAGGTGCTTGTACTGGATGGGTGACCCCCAAGGAACTGCTCTTTGTGCAGCAGGTTTTTAGTGACACTGGAAATTCCAGGTCTGGCTGTTAACCTCAGCCAGAGGTCCTTCTTGCCTCCTACCACCGGTGCTGGGAGGGTGTTGGATACACCTGTAGCTAGAGCCTCCCAGTCTGCCCAGTAGATCCTCCGCTGGGGAATGGTGCAGGGGGCTGATCCCCATGCCACCGAGCCCCCATTGCTAGAAGCAGGGCCTGGCTGTGAGCCTGAAGGAAACCAAAAAGGGGTGAAGCTAAGGGGACAGAAAGTGTCACTGTGTCACCTTCGCAGCCTTCTCAGGGAGACGGTGAAGTGCTGTTGGGGCGTTGCTGAGTCCTCGTCAGACGTTGCCCTGATACTTCACCGGCCGGAGGGTGTCACGGGTTCCTTCTGCTTCTCTTGGCTTCTCAGTGCAGGTCACTTTTCAGTCGCTTCCTACTTTTTCCCTCATCGCAAGCATGTTCCCTGGGCTTCGGTACCAGCAGCCAGCTGCAACGAATTCCGCTGAGCCCCCAACACGTCTGTGATGCCCCAGCCCCAGATCCAGCCCAACCTCAGGGTTCAAATGATGCCAAGAAACTTAAGCAGGGCCAGTGGAGCTGAGCTTATTTCTGCTGCTGTGGGGGGGGGCTGGTTTTACTGTCCCTTCACCCAGTTTTCTTCTTCTTTTTCTCTTTTCTTCTCTTTTCTCCTCTTTTATCTTCTCTTCATTTCTTCTCCTCTTTTCTTCTCCTCTTCTTCTCTCCTTTTCTCCTTCTTCTTCTCTCCTCCTCTCCCACCTCTTGGGCATCACCTTCTCTCGTGGCATTTCTGTGCATCATAGCAACATCCACCGGGCGCAGGATCAGTGTCCCTTAGTGTCACCCCCTCAGCTGGGGCAGGGCTGGGCTGCAAGAGCTTTGGGTGTGTGTCCTCATGCGTGCAGGCAGCGGGTGTCCCCCAGCAAGGCGAGGAGCAGCAGCCGCAGCGCTTCTAGGAGCTGCTCAGCGTTGGGCAGAGCGAGGGTTAGCACCCAGCCTTGTCTTGGTCTCAGAGCAGTGGGGAGCACGGTTTTGTGCTGACTCAGTTTACCTGGAGCACTTTGTTCTTGTCATCGTGATACTGTCCCTGCTCAGCTGTGATAATTAAGGGATCCAGACCTGATTCACATCAAGCTTGGCCAAGTAAGGACTATATTCTGTTATTTCTCCACCCAACATTCCGATGGATTCCAGCAGGGGTGTTTACAACCCCTCCAGGGTTAAGCCAGTGCTTGGGATGGCAGGACAGGGGGAGTAGGAAGAGCAAAACCAAGAAAATCTGTGAGTAGAGATAAAGAGGGTTTAATAGCAAAGATGAAGGGAAAAAAAAAAAAACAAACCACAAGTGATGCAAAGGCAACTACTCACCATCTCCCACCATGAGACTGATACCTAGCCAGTTCCCAAGCAGTGGCCACTTTTCTAAAATCTCTTCCCCTCTGTTTTTATTGATGGTTTTATCTGTATCAGCTGTCTTGGATGTGCCTCTTCCCAGCTTCCTGCCCACCCACGGCCTAATCATCAGTGGGGGAAAAAGGGAAAGCCTTGATGCTGTAAGCACTGAAACACTGGTGAGTTGTCAGCAGAGTTTTCGCCGCAAATCCAAAGCCCAGCACCCTGCAGGCTGCTATGGAAAGTGTTTGCTCCATCCCAACCAGAGGCAGTATGATGCTGATGGGACCTGCAGTTCCCTCCTTCCTGAGATGCTGAAGGGTTTTCCTGATTTTGAGTTTTTTTCCTGAGCCTGAAAAACCTCTTGTATTTTGATTCTATTTTGGGATATTTCCAAGGATTTTTGAGCTGGAGAGAGCTGGGGAGACCTGGGACTACTGCAGGTCAGCTCTCACTTTGTGCAGGCTCCAGGAAGGACCCAGAGAGAACCAAAACCTTTATCCCTCATCTTGATCTTCCAAGTTATTTACACGGCGCTTCGGCTGAGGCAGCAAGGTAGGGGAAGGCAATACAAATTCATCACAAAAGCAGCAGGGACACCGAGTACCTACTGGGGTTCATCCAAGCTTAAAACACGGGTGTAACGCCCGGCTGAAGGCAGAAGCCGCGCTCACGGGAGCTGTAACTCCTGTTAGGCGGCCACGGTGGTGTTTGCTGGGGATTTAGCAAAGCAATAGCTGAGCAGGTGCCTGGGTGAGTGTAACATACTGTACATAGACTACTCGCTAGGTCGCTCTTCATCTCAACGAAACTGCATGTTGTCTCCCATTTCTGTGTGATGCTGGTAGGTTTGGGGATGGTGGGGTTTCTCTTTTTTTTAACCGTGTACTGTACTTGGTCTTTGTTCTAACCATGTTTCAACCAGATGGGTTGTTATTTGTTGTCAGGAGTACTATTTTTTTTTTAAACTTTACAGTGTGATCTGTGTGTTTCTGAATATTTATAATTCTTACAGTGTTGCAGAAGTGGCAGCGATTCCTTTCCTGTTGGAGGAGAGTGGGTGAGCTGGCATGGTTGTGAGATGGAGGAAAGGTCCATGCAGAAGGTCCCTGTTAGCCAAAACTAGTATTTAAATCCAGGTGTCCCTCCCAAAATGGGGCTACTGGTTTGTTTGGTTTTAATGTTTGCTATAGAGATAATAGCACATACTTTTTAGCAGAAGCTGGAAAAGTGGGTGAGCCAAAATACTTTTGGACCAGTGTTCTGGATTTTCAGAGCTTTTGGGTTGGCTGGTTGGGTTTAGGGTGGTTGGTTGTTTTTGTTTTTGTTTTTTTGTTTTTAAAAACCCAAATAAATATGTATCCTCTTCAAGGCATGTTGGTCATCTTGTTTTTCCTTTTACATGTTGGTGCTGGCAATCAGCTGCTGGTGATTGGAAAATGAAGGAGGCTTTGAAGTCAACAATTTCTCCTGTTCTTTAACATGAGAGAAGGTAGGAAAGGTGAGAAGCTGCTTTCCTCAAATCCCATGTGCTCTCCTCATCCTCCTCATTCACAGCAGCTGATGGCGAGGGCACAAGGCAAACGCAGCTAAACCCAGACTAAGCTCCACGCCTGCGGTGCTGGCAGACTCGGGGGCTGTCTCCTTCCCTCTCTGCAGCACTAAGCCAGGACCACCCGCGTGGTCCAGCCCTTTCAGCCGGGGTTCCTGCTAACAGGGTGTTGAACCAAGAGCTGGGGAGGTGGAAGAAGGCAAGAGAAGCAAAGATTGTCCTGGGGGAGGCTCCTTTTTAATTGCATTTATAATAAATTATATCCATGAGCTTGCTGCAGAGGGTCTCTAAGTGCACCCGGGGGGTGAGCTGGGCAGCCGAGGACCCTGGCAGCGCCCATGGGGGCTGGGGGACCCATCTTGGGGAGCCCATCAGGCTTTGAGGTCCCCAAGCAAGACTCAACAGTTGGTTTAGGCTCCCAGCACAGAGCCTGGCTTCACTTGCCCCAGTGTTATCCCAGGGGAAGTAAAAAAATGGGGATGAAGCTTCCTGGCATCAGCGTTTAACCATTACCACAGCTGTGTGGTCCAGCTTCCCGCATGGGACCTGCTTTAAAAAAAAAAACAAAAAACGCAGAAGTGATTACTGCGGTCTTTCCAGAGCCCGGTGACGTCTCCATCACTGCAAAAGCAGGGATGTGACATTAAAATCCTGGCCGTCACTTTACATTTAACACACCCTTAAACCTTCCCCAGCTCAGAGCGTTAATGGGCACGCTTAATTCTCCAGCAGTTATTGAGTACATCTATTTCTAATTTAACAAATCATCTTTTCCCCAGACCCTGGCAGCCGTTCGTTTAATAAATCCTCATCAGCTGGGCTCTGCTTTCATCAGCTCAGAGTTTTCTGTTCAAAATCTTTTGCCTTTCATTAAATCTGTGCTGTTTTTATTAATGCTTTCAATCTTTCCTCGGCATGTCGCAGCCTGGCTCGCCGAGAAACAAGGAATTTTTTTTTTTTTCTATTAAAGCAAGAGGAAAAGCATTAAACTGCTTTGGGAAGCACGATGAAATCCTTCTCACTTCCAAGGTGTAAAAAACTTGCTCCTGCCACTAAGTGAAATGAGAGGGGCAGGAGAGGGATAGAGATATCTCTGCAGCTCACATAGTTCATTTCTGTTCTGCATCTTTCATTACAGTGATCATAAATCAGCAGCTGGAGCCCAAGAGGGCAAGAAGGTGATATTTATTGGGGAAGTTTAGGAGGGGAAGAGCTCAGAGGATCCAGAATATTTTTTTTTTTTTGCCTCCACCTTTTTTGCTGGCACCCTTCCTCCTTTGGAAGCTCTCCCAAAGTTTGCTGGACATTTTGAGTATTTATTATTATTTTTCTACTTCCATACAGTTATAACCAGCCCCAAACTCCCTGAGCAGCTGGAAGGTGGATGCACTGACCCTACACTGACCAAAAAAACCTCATCACAGGGCACAGGGTCTAGATAATTTACCCCTTTCCAGATGGAGAGAGAGGAGGCAAAGCAGGAGCATCCCATCATGGCCCCATTTCCCACGTAGGAGGTGCTGGGGACAGGCCAGGGAGGAGGCAGGTGACATCGTGCCTGCTGGGAAGATGGCCTGGGACAAGGGGTTAACTCTGCTTTGGGCCACCAGAAAGAC